ATAAATAATTCAGCTAATATTTTTCTAAGGAAAAATTTGGGGGTGCAGTCTAATGTGGCTGCAGTTCCCCATGAGCACCATCTTGTGCAAGGTGCACTTCTGGTCAAATGACAGTGACCTCTCCATCCTATCAGCATAACTACTGCAACCAAACCTGTATTTTGTCTTTGACCTTGTCTTAAATTACCACTGATGCCAATGGGAACTCCATGTGCAACAAAGTTTTTTATTCTGGCTCTCAAATCTTAATATTTTCAAAATGTTGACTTGGGCAGGAGTTGACGTAATTCGCATTTAGGGCTTTGCACTGAAGCACTTGAATTCCATGTGGAGTACAGCACTAGCCCCATAAACCCATGTCTAAAAATCCCACTCTGAAAAGAGGATTACTGAACATGTGCTATATTTACTCCCTTTTTCCCATAACCTTTTAATGCCTCAGGGATTGAGTTTCAGTAGACGCAGTGGGAGAATCCTGGTACATCTGGTTTCCCTGTGGTCTTACATGATGACTGAACAGCCTCACAGCTTTTGCAGTCAGGTTCCCTATGGGCTCACACTGTGATTAGATTTGTTCACCACAAATATATCCTTGTTTGCCATAAAGATACAAGTGAATTGAACTTTTGTTTATGCATCCCATTTACAACTAGGACTTCACAGAATCATACAGTAAATTAGGTTGGAAAGGACCTCTGGAGGTCACCTTGTACCTTTCTTGACTAAGTCTCTTCCCAAAGATGATTTCTTTTTCCCCTTTTGTGGATCAACAATTTGGAAATATCCTTTCAGCTGACAGTGTCCTCTGCTTTTCTACTTTTCCAGGATGCACTAATTCCAGCTCACACAGATACCACATTTTAAAATATTGTATACACGGTATTTAAAAATTAAGTGTACCAACAAAACTAAATTTTGCAATGTGAAATCTGGCATGTAAGAATGTTAAAAATACATAAGCCACACAGCTGTTCCTGAATGTCTAAACAAATAGGTCATCACCTATCTGGCTTTTGTCACAGCAGGAGATGATTCCATGGAGCGAGAGGGTATCAGTGGCCTGGGCATGCATTTGGCACCCAGAGAGACACAGCTGTCTGTCACTTCCCAGGAAGGATTTGAGGTTAGCCAGCATCCCATGCATCAGGACATCCTGCTGCCATAACCCTGACATGGGGGATGGTTCTGGCAAAGTTATGTGGGATTCAGAAGACACAGTTTGGTCATTCCTTTAGGAGAGCTTGATTTCAGTTTAGGACAATAAATTTTTTTGAGCTGACTTCATTGAGATTCTCACCAAGGCCATATTTATTATTAGATAACACTGACTTGTTCTTGGAAAAGCACTTTTGGCCTATTTTTAATGTAAAATATTTTTTTGGATTTATGTTTTCTTTTTGTGAATACAATAAAATGAAAAACATGGCTCTGTGACATTTATTGCTGAATACTCATTTCTTATTGGCAACAGCTCCAGATATACAATCAACAACTTTAATCTTTATGAAGAGATGAGAAGTTACTTAAGTAGGGCCCATTGTAATATTACTTTTTATGAAAAAGGACTTTTTTTTAAGTAGATATAGACTACTTTATAGATTATATACTGTCTGCAGTTATCAGATAGACTTTTGGAAGTTGACCACAAATGGCCTTTCTGAAAAGATTAAATTTTAAAAGAGACCTAATTTTTCCTTGCTATTCATGCAGACACTGAAATAAATCTATGCTTTTGAGGAAAAATGAATCAACATGGCTTCAGCTGATTCTCCAGGTCATTTGAAAAGATTCAAATAAAATTTAAAACTGCTACCAGGACACTTATGAATCATGTTAGGTTAAATTCTGAGAACTAAGTGCAGGTATTAAACATGTAATTTCCATAGCTGTATCAGTTCAGAAATAGGTTGGCAGAAAATGTCCTTGAACAGTTCTAGAATTAAAGACATTCTCATTTCACAGGTAACTCATAAAATGGAAAGCAAACATATTTTCATAAAAGTGACAATTTTCTTCAATTCTCCCAAGATTAAAAGTGTTCATGTTTTAGGACTTGCTTTTCTGTGAAAGGGTAGAAAAGGGACATGCAGTTGTACTATTTATTATTAGCATCATCGCAGTGTGTGCAAAATGCTGCACCAACAGAAGAGAGAAATAGAAGAAAAAGACAGACCTTTCTCTTCTAAGTTTTACAGGACTGTGTTGTTCCACAGTATTTTAACTTCATTCAGGAAAAGAAGATAATTTCCTTGCTTTTATATTTGCCAAGTGTAGAGTAGCAGTATGAAAATGTATGCAAAATTTTAGTGCCTTGAATGAATGGCAGCTGAGAAAGCTGCTGGTACTGTTGGTTCCAGCTGAAAATTCCAAGGCAATGACTAGTGAGGAGGAACACAGACAATATGGGAAGGCTGAAGGAGAACACAAACTTTGACCTAACCCAGCAGCAAGCCGTAATTTTCTACAACAGTGTTCTTAGGGACACAGTTCTCTCTTCCACACCTCTAATGTTTGCAACTCCTAGGTCTGATGGAGGGCACTCTGCTTTCAGGCTTTCACTTACGCTGTGTAGTACACCCTCAGCAAATTTGCTGATGTCTCTAAGATGGTGCAGATGACACACAAGAGGAAAGGGATGCCATCCAGAGGAACCTTGGCAGGCTGGAGAAGTAGGCCTCAGTGAACAACCTCATGAAGTTCAACAAAGCGAAATGTGAGATCCTACACCTGGATCGTGGCAATCCCGGACGCACCTACAGGTTGGGCAGAGAGGTGATTGAGAGCAGCCCTGAGGAGAAAGACTTGGGGATAATGGTTAATGAAAAACTCAACATGAGCTGGCAGTGTGCATTCACAGCCCAGAAAGCCAAGCATCTCCTGAGCTGCATCAAAAGGAGGGTGGCCAGCAGGTCAAAAGAGGTGATTCTTGCCCTCTACTCTGCTCTTGTGAGACCCCACCTGGAGTGCTGTATATGGTTCTGGTGTCCCCAGCATAAGGACACGGAATTGTTGGAGCAAGTCCAGAGAAGGACCACAAAGTTGCTAAGAGGACTGGCTCACCTCCCATGCAAAAACAGGCTGATAAAGTTGGAGCTGTTACAGCCTGGAGAAGACTACATGGAGACCTCATAGCAACCTTCCAGTATCTGAAGGGGGTCTATAGGGAAGCTGGAGAGGGACTCTTCATCAGGAATTGTAGTGATAGGACAAGGAATAACAAATTAAAAGAGGGGGAATTTAGGTTAGATACTGTGAAGAAGTTTTGCACTGTAGGGGTGGTTAGTCATTGGAACAGGTTGCCCAGAGGGGTTGTGGATGCCCCAACCCTGGCAGTGTCCAAAGCCAGGCTGAATAAGGCCTTGAGCAGCCTGGTCTATTGGGAGATGCCCCGATCATGGCAGGGTTGGGACTAGATGATCTTTAAGGTCCATTCCAACCTCTTAACATTCTATGATTCTAAGATTATACAGGTCTCTTTGTTAAGCAGTCTAAGGGACATTTTGTGTTGTTTTTCTCATGAAAATCTCTGTTTCGATCTGATCAGATGAATGATCCAGAAACAAAAGGCTCTGTTGACTGTCTAGTGTACCCGGACCTTAATGTAACAGAGCTTTCCATGCATTTTCAAGTTTCATTATAGAGAAACTGAGCTAAGGAGACCAGTACAATATCAGATTATTTACTAACAATTTGTTCAAGTGTAAACCAGGAGGACAACCAGATCCAGGCCCTCCTTTCCACCACTCCTAACAATCACATCACTACACCAGTTTAGATCTGGCAAATCTTTCACCAGATGTAAAAATGAACGGCAAGGTTACTTCTGCAGTATAATAATTAGAGCATTTATCATGGAAACAGACCTATTATGGTTCATCCATTTAACTGTGTTTCATCTTATTATAAATGGTGAACTCAACTCCCTACTCTCTTCTCACAAAGCTTATGTAAGCAGCATCACCACCAGCAGCAGGATTTATCTGAGTAGGAGAGAATGTTCATAGCAGTGTTCATACACCCAGAGAATCCAGTGCATTAGGAACTTTGTGAAGCATGTGTATTCCAGCCCCAGGTACTGCTGTACTCAGCAGAATGGTAAGACCTAGCTGGTCTGCAGCACTTGAAGGTGTGTCATGAGAAGCTGAGGACTTCTGTCCATTTGCAAAGGGACTATACACTGGTTGTTAAATGTTCTAGGATGGTTGTTTTTTTAGGTACACTATTGTTAAAACATATGGAAATCATAGCAGTCAAAAGCTATTCCTTCCTGACCAGCAGCTTTCTTGAACTAATTAGAGGGTAGGTTGTATTTGTTAGGCAGTAAGCATTGTCAGGTTGTTTCTACTTTCTGCTCTAAAACCAGCTTCTAATGGTATTAATTTAGTGCAAAAAGTGAACCGCTTTGTGCGCTAGCTGAAATCCTGGAAGAACTAGAATCCTGTTTTCAAAAAAATCTGTATAAAACAAGCTCCTTTAAAGTCTAAAAAAATATATAATTCAGGTAACTAAATCACTAGAACATAGTATTTCTTTAAAAGAAAAAAGCAGAAAATGGTCCCATATATTCTTGGGTCTCCAATAGAAAACTGACATAAATGGCTTTTCTGGTATAAAGGCAACTACATAATAGATATGTTAAAAATTCATAGTGAAAAGGAAAAATAAATAATACTTCAAGTTTCCCTTGTACCAGAAAAACAGGATTCTTTGCAACTGCAAGCTGACAGTGTCAAAGGGGACCAGCCCCCTTTAAGTGCTTTAAAGTAGCTGATATTGAAATGGGATAAACAAGTAGTAGAATCAACAGAAGTACACTCACTGTACAAAAGCTTAACTGAACACATACCTTATGCCACATTAGTTTTAAAGTTATCTAACTTTAAGCAAAAGTAGATAAGAAAATAATAACAGAAGGAGTTGCAACAGTTTTAGTCATTTTTGTCATCATGATTTTTCTTTTCATAAGATCTACATCAAGCTGATGATAAATCATATGTGAAAGTTTATTAAGACAAAAGAAAAACAGGGGTATCTGATTTTACACTCAAGACATCAACAAATGGAAGTCTTTAACAATAAAGCTTCTTTCAGAACCCAGGAAACAAAGCTATTATGCTGTGTAAACACCTTTCAATAAAGTACATTCAGCTTCGGGCAAAGAACAGTGTTCCTCATATCCCTATTGCTTGAAGATAATTACTCTGCTAAAATTTTGTTTTCCTGAAGTGAAACTGTTGCCCAGTTTCCAGGGATCTTTTCCAAAGTGTAGGTAAAGGAGTCTGTGAAAAGCTGCTTGTGATAAAATTTATTCTATTGAAAGAGCAACATATATATTCTACTGAAAAATTGGCAAAATTATGTAATTTTTCAAAATTAAAGTGAATTGAGTGGTGATTTTGGGGGTTGGGTTTTTTTTTTAAGAGTAATGGTTTACCCAAGCTGGAACATCGAAGATCACACTTTGATGTGTGCTTGCACCCACCCAGCTGAATAATCACATACAGGATTATCTACTGCTGCTAGGCAGCTTTCAAAGGTGATGCTACTGTCTGAAGCTCCTCTAAGGCCTGTAAATTTCATTTGTACACAGTCATTGTGCACCATGTCCCAGACTTTTGAAAGCTACAAAAATTGTTCAAGAACCTGGCAAAACTTGCAACTCATCAGAGTAACTCTGTGACCTTTATTCTTGTAACGTGAAATCAGAAACCTACATTCTTGTGGATTACTGAATTGACTCCTACAGTTTCAATCCCATGCAATTTTTAGAAGCTTTCATTTTAACCTCCTCCCTCTATCAACCATGAGAGAGGGACACAAATTGCAAGACTGAAATAACAAGGGCTTCTGTCTCCTCAGAGGCTGAAGAAAGAAGTCAAACTAGCCAAAAATGGCATGCAGAAATCTTTGAATTTGTAGAACATAATATGCCACCCAAATAAGACCTGCCCAACAACTCTTCTAGCTTGGTGCTCTACTGAAGAGAGACTTGAAGTGGAGGAATAGCTTTGCATCACATGTAACCTTTTTCCCCAGCTCTGAAAGATAAAAGCCAAGATTTCTAGCAAGAGTGGCAGTGTCCACAGCACAAGATCAGAAGGAAATTCTGTGAACTGTGGAAAGCTCACATTCCTATGCTCCTTATTCTGCTGCTGTTAAGAGATTGAGCTCCTTGCTTCAAGCAGACAGCTAGAATGCCCTAACAAGCTGGAGGGAGTTGTGGTAAACATTCTTGGCTGAGCCTTTTCACCTTTGGTACTTAGAGAAGGTTCTAGATACGCTATTAAGTCTTTCAACCATATACCATTCGATCTGACTGAGCGTGAATAGAATACATCTCCCATTTTGCATCAGGACTTTTTACTTTGGTTTTGGTCCTAATCTTCTGTGGAACTCACATGCACCAGTTAGAGAAGCCTAAATGTTTAGCTAGTAACGTTTGTCATGAGGAAGACACTTGAGCAATGGACCTGTTGACTAAACCCAGGATTTTAACAAAATAAGTTTTTTCTATAACATGTGAACATGTTTTCTAAGAAACGTGTGTACAATGGTCTTATTATAACTCTAATAACTTCCTAATGCAGAAAAATACTACACATAATTCCTCATCAAAATAGGTAAGTCTTCAGTTTTGGAGAAAAAAGTACAAACAGCAAATGAAATAAAGCTTAAACATGGTGTGCCTAAAGGAAAACTGTGTACAAAAATAAACAAGAGACAAAGCCCATATCCCTAATCTGATTTACATAGCCTTACACGTACTTTTCTGTGAAATACATGTTAAATAAAAATATTGGTCCCACTCTTAAGTGTATTTACTTGGTAACAAGAACACAGGCTACAGGAGTGGCATATTCTAAAATAAAAATGCTCTAAAAATATTCTCAAAGAAAAGAAAAAGCCTTTCATGTTTTCTTAGTTCTCGTTAGTCTCATTCCTGTGACAGCAGAAGTGAGCTGTTAGGTGTTAACTGTCATTACAGAGAAGGTGAGCACAAGCACACAAGTTAGAGCAGTCTGCTTGCCAGCTATCTAGTTAGGAGAACTTTCAAAACTCTGTCATCCTGACCGGAAGATTAATAGCTGCTTTCTCCTGAATAAACCTTGAAACCAAAATTGTGGAACTTATTGACGGCCTGCCTCACATGCTACATTTATAAACTTTTACTGTGAGCCACTCTATAGTTTTTCTTCCCCATTCAAAAAGTTCTTACCCTTCTCTGAGGCAATATTTAATCACAAGCAATATAAAATTATCTTTCTGTCACAAGGGCAGATCCTAAAAATCCCTTTTACTGTGTACAGTCTTGATTCTGTTGTACTGAACAGTAAGACAGGTTTGCAGAAACATCTACTATTTGTTTTTTGAAAGTTATCTAGAACCAAAGCTCAGTCTTACACCCAACCCCAAGCCATGTTAGGAAATTCACTTCATCTGAGCATTTTCTTGAAATCACTGCTGCCCATTTCTTTTCCTTGCATACAAGCCGAGGCAGGCGCAGAATCCGACAACGCTGACAGCGAGGCCTAGAAGAAAGGCAATGGTATCTCCGGCATCCAGGGCTTCAACCACTGGCAGCACCAGCAGCAGTGAGAAGAGGACCAGGAAAAGTTTTGAGGTGTTCTTGGTAGAAGGCATGCTGATGATCAGCTGACCCCAAGGGGAAGTTAAATGAGGAAAGTGGTGGAAAGCAGGTACTTCAGCAGTATCTACAAGGAAAACAAATGGAACATGACAGAATTTCCCTTCCCCCTGGATTTGTCTTGTCAAAAGCCGAGTGATGTGATTGATGTATTACACATATCTGTGTGGGGCTCAGGAAATTTAGGTTTTATCTTCTCAATTACAAAAGCAAATGACTTACTATCATGAGACAGCCACAGTGGGGTTGCTATCTTGTTATGTAGTGCTGTGGAATCTAATCTTTTGGTGTCTTACCACGAGGTCAAGCCAGAACAGGCTCTCCTGTCTGCAGCTATCAGAGCCTGCTTACCTCGTGCTGTGCTATGTCGGCCTCTTTCACCAGGTGTTTAGGGCTGTGTAGCTCCTGAACACCACTCACCCACACCCCCTAGTACTGGGCATCCTCGGGATCCAAGAGCACGGCCAGACTACGGCACACTGGGGAGAGTGTGAACTTAACCTCCCGGGCAGTGTCACCGTGCAGGACAAACGTCTACCGTGGTTCCTACAACTTGGGAAGGTGCCCTCGAGGTGCACGTCGGGACCAGCCCGGATGCCCTCTCCGCAATAGTTCTTCCTGCGGGGATGGCTCGTTCCCGGGGTGCACTCGACAAAAACCCG